GGCTGTTAATAAATTGGATGTTGTAAGTAAAATTCTTTTTTATTTATCCTTTTATAGGTTTAATATTCTTTAAATATTTATTTATTAAAATGTTCATTAAATATTTATTTATTAAATGTTAAAATATATTCATTTTTTTCATTTCTTAGGTTGATTGGTCACAATTTCGATTTGATCAAATCGTAACCAAATTGAAGCCCTTCTTAAGCCAAGCAAATTTCAAAAAAAATAATGTTTTTTATATCCCATGTAGTGGATTAACTGGTGAAAATCTTGTAAAAAGAGATTCCAAAATTATGGAATGGTATAATGGACCAACTTTGGTTGAACAATTAGGTTGGTATATATATATATATTATTATTATTATTATTATTATTATTATCATTATTATTATTATTATTTTGGTATTTTAATTTTTATTGATAAAAATCTCTTTTTTTTTAAAAAAAAAAAGATAATCTTGAACCACCAACACGTCTTTTGGAGGAACCATTTAGACTTTCTGTGAATGACTTCTTTAAAGGGGGTATAGGAAATGTTGGTGGAGTAACAGTTGCTGGTAGAATAGGAGGAGGTACAATTCAAGTTGGCGAAGAAGTTATGGCTATCCCTGGAGGTGAGACTGGAGTTGTAAAGGGTGAGTTTTTTTTTTTGTTTGTTTTAATTCATTCCGTTTTTATCTTTATTTTTATTTTTTTGATTTTGGGAAAATTTATCAATATTTTTTTAAAAAATGGAATTTAATAAATTTCTTTGGTTATTTTTTTAGTTATTGAAATTAATGAAATATCATGTAAATGGGCAGCAGCAGGCGACTCTATATTAATAACTTTAACAGGATTAGACATAATGCAATTAAAGTAATTAAATATATATTAAATATTATATTCAATTTTATTTTATTTTTTTCGAAATATTTACTGAATATTTACTGAATATGTATTAAATATTTTTAGGGTTGGATCTATATTATGTTTGCCATCAAATCCTGTCCCTATTACATCACATTTTCAAGCACAAATTCTCACATTTGATATTAAAATTCCCATAACAAGAGGATTTCCCGTGAGTAATGAATGGTTAAAAAATGTTATAATGTAATATTTATAATATTTGTTACATGTTAATAATACATTTGATTCTTTAGGTTATACTTCATAGGCAAAGTCTTAATGAGCCAGCTGTTATTATCAAATTAGAATCTATTATAGATCGAAATACAGGGAAAGTAACAAAGAAAAATCCAAGGTAACTACTGGTTTTTATATTGTTATTACATAAGGGCGGATTTGTTTGATTGCGAAATCTAAAAAATCTAAATAAGGGAATTATTGTAAAATAAACGCCTATCAATTCCTTTTTTAGCCATTAGAAATCAAATAAATCAACCCATATTAAATAGCTTATATTATTTAATTAATTAATAATAAAAAAATTATAAAAATTGAATTTTATAGGCATATTTCTAAATCCACTACAGCTATCGTTGAAATTAAATTGTCTAATAGATCAATTCCTTTGGAAACATTTGAAGATAATAAAGAACTGGGAAGAATAATGTTAAGAAAAGGTGGAGAAACAATTGCTGCAGGAATTGTTAAGAAAGTGAGTACATGGTTATTATTTTTATTATTAAAATTGATTTACATATTTGAATTTCATTATTATTTTATTTTGCATTATATTTATTTAAAATATTTATTTTATTAGTTAATCTCTTTGGGGTCTTGATACTCTTATAATTTTATTCCATTTGTTAAGGAAATTATATTGTAATTTGTTAAAATTTTGTAAAATTATCATCTAAAAGTCAAACTTGATAAGTTGATCTCACGTTACTCATTTATTTTCGCGTTAAACTTTGTCGGACTTGGTTGAATTCAGTTCAAATAGATGCAGCTCTCTGCCTTTGTATTTTTTTTAAAAAAAAAAAAAAAAATAGATGATTTTTTGACACAAATTTTTTTTTGTATTTTAAACTTCATATTTTATAATTTTATATCAAATTTCTAATTACATAATTTATTTTAGCATAAAATTTTGTAATAAAAAAAAATAATATTAGGAAATTGATATGAAAATGCTATATTAATTAAAATGATAATATTACAAATATTATTAATGCTATGTTTCTATTTAATATTAATATTTTACCATTGTGCATAGATATTTTTTATTTTATTACTTCTTTCTCTTATTAAAATTTTTCTTCCATTTTCAATAGAACGTGTAAATGAACTAGATGCTCTACAACAACCTTCTGGTCCACCAATAAAATAATCTGAATTTAATAATATTAATTTATCAAAAATTCCTTGTATTCCTGGTCCCATTAACTCTTTTTCCAATTGATGGTCAAAATTTTCACCAAATTTTTTTAATGCATTTACATTCTTTAAATATTTGACCACATTTATACTAGTCCAATTTTTAAATAAAATTGGGGATGTTTTGATTATTCTCATCGCCTCATAATGAAATTCTGTTATATTACGAAATGTTGATGACTGACCTTTTTCTCCTATTAATGGATAATCTGTTGCTAAATAAATATTTTTAATTCTATATTTGGATTTTAATGTTTTTATTCTTTCTATTAATTTAGTAGCACATCCTGGCATCATTTCATTATTTCCTGTTTCCATTCTCCAATGTATTGCTATATATGGATGTAAAGATTCACTAACTTCTTTGGCCGCATTTAAAAGATGTGGAGCATATTCCATTTGAGAAGATTGATCAAATAACGAAAATCTAAGGTTATGTCCATAAAGTAATACTTCAGTATCTGTTTGTGAATTTTCAATTACAAAATCTCTAATATCATCCAAATAAGCACGTTTATTGATGATAATATTTTTAAAAATTGTTTCTTCATTAAATTTTAAATCAAATCTGTCAAGGCAATAATGTTCATAGTAATTGTCACGATATGATTCAGAAAATTCTAAAATTTCGGTAGTGAATGAAGGTCCAACAGAAATGACTGTGTGAGCTGTATTGGGTTTTTGAAATCGTTCTTTGGTCCAAAGTTGAAAATCATCTTGCGTAATAAATTTTAAATGAGGGAACTTTTTTCTTAAAAATTCGATATTATAATAAAAATCAAATGAAAATGGTTTGCAAGTTCTTATTCTGGAATCTCCAACATTGGTTAATACGATAATTCTATTCAACTCCAGAGCAATTTGAGTAAACGTGAGAAAATGAAGATTGGCTCGAGTTTCTTGTTCCATTACGACATATGCGAAAAGAAATTTACATTCATTTGATCCGCAATATTTTCGATTAATTCCAAGGTCAGGATTTTCAAATTTTAAATCGTCTTCGCTGTCTGTTACTATGGCATCTGGTAATATATCGTCTGGTAATATATCGTTTTGTGAATCCCTGGTTTCTTGTAAATCTTCTAAATCGTTTATTATTGCGTTTGCTTTTAAATCGTTATTAAAATTTTTATCCGTTTCTAAATCGTTTTCCTCTAAATCAATTTTCAAGTCTTCATTTAACCAATTTGATTTTGATTCTGGATTTAATTTTGATACGGTTTTCAGTCGAATTTTTGAGCGTTTTAAACTGCTTTCATAACTCAGTACCCCAATGTATGTTTTAAGGATTAAATATCCTAAAAGAATTAATAGAAAGGTTTTTTTAAAATTTAAAGAATATTTGCATCTCCTTCTATAATATTTTGCATGGTTTATTAGTTGATTCATAATGATATATAGAAGTTAAAAAATAAAACATCAAAACCGAAAGAAAAATTCGACACTTTGACTACGAATTTTTGTATCACCAAATAAAATTTGCTACGAAACCAAAAAAAGTACAAATTTTAAACAATAATAACAAATTGGCCAAATAAATGGTTTCAAAAGTACAGATTTATTACTTATTTATCATTATCAATCAAATGTTTACATGCGTGATTCTTAATATCTCAAACAAAAAAATTATTATATTAAAATTTGGGACGAATTACAAGTCAATTTTACAATAAAAAACCTTTTAAAATATTCATTTTATACAATGCAGTTAAATTGTTAAATTAAATTGTTTAACTAATTAAATTAAAAATTTAAATTAAATTACGTACTTACTGCATATCACATGCAAGTTGTACTTTTATGAATATCATTATTATTAAACTGATTAATTCTATAATAAACCTTGTTTGTTTAATTTGTTAACTGTTGGAAATATAGGGTTATGTGATTGCTGGTTTAATGAAATGATTGACAAAAATTTCATTTGAGAGTTAACTAAAATTACTTGGTCATAAGTAATAACTAATTCTTTAAGATATAGATTTATCTTTTTGTGTCGGTGTTGAATGTATAGTGAGATATCAAGGGCAACTAAAAATTAATAAAAAAATCACTAAATTTAAAATGCTAATTGTAACACAACGAGTGATCTAAATTGCACACTATCATATTATATATTTTGTGATGTGGTGTGGATTATGACAAAAAATAAAAAATTTAGTTTTTGAACGTTACTCATATCGAACTCGATGGATATTAAAGATAGATACTAATTATCTTATGAGAAATTGTAGCCAGTAATAATATCTACAACTTTAATTAGAACTACTTTTTGTAGTATTTAGTGAAATTTTAGGCTTTACTTAGGCGTGAATTAAAACGGCCGAAATTTATTAAAAATATAAAAAAAAAAAATCCGAAAATAATTATCAATTATTTCTACATATAAAAGTTTTTTATTTATTAAAGTAGTAATAAAAATGATACTAAGTAACATTAAAGCTGAGAATATATAACATCTTATGTAAATCATTCAGACATATTTAATTAAAATTGAGCGAATAATTAGTGATTGAATTCCAGAGAATAATTTCGAACGTCCAGCGTACAGCCATTGATATTAAATTTAATTCGCAAGTAAAAACTTTACAAAAAATGCTATACATTCTCAGCTATAAAATTAATTAGTAACATATATGAACATTTATATGTAGTAATGTTTGATAGTTATTTTTGAATTCAGCGGTAAAATGATCGATAATAAAATCTATTGTCGATCATTTTATCTTTGATATTTTTTAAATTTAATATCGAAAATTATTCTCTGGAATTTAATCGCTAATTATTCGCTCAATTTTAATTAAATATATCTGAATACTTTACATAAGATGTTATATATTCTCAGCTTTAATGTTACTTAGTATTTTATATGTAGAAACGATTGATAAATATTTTCGGATTTTTTTTTTATTTTTTTACAATTTTTAATGAGATTCGGTCGTTTTTATTCACACCTAAGTAAAGTCAAAATTTTCATTAAAAACTACGAGAAGTCGTTCTAATTAAAGTTGTAGATATTATTTCTGGCTACAATTTATTGTAAGATTGTTGGTATCTATCTTTGATATCCATCGAGTCAGTATGGATAACGTTCAAAGATTAAATTTTTTATTTTTTTGTCAGAAGTGCATATCACAAAATATATCATATGATAGCTTTAGTTTAGTGGGAATCTAATAAGAAAAAGGTTGTGTCAATTTAGATCTCCCGTTGTGTTACAATTAGAGTAATTTTTTTATTAATTCTAATTGCCCGGTGACTTTTGATACCCCACTATACAAACAATTGCTCTTTTTTTTTTGTCCATATATAGAAATCCAAGCTTGTGTTTATTGTTCCAAAATAAATCTTCCAACATTCTAATCCAATTATATCTAATATATAAGAGAGAAAATATTTGTTTGCTTATGCTAGAATTCAAATTTACTATTTTTATTATTTAAGGTAGGACAGGATTTTGTTACAAAATCACATAAATGCAAGATTAACCTTTTTTGATAATATTTTTAATTTCGAATATTGTTATTGGTTTATGCAATTACTAAAAGTGACACAAATGAAATTAGTCTTACTTCGACGTATAAGAATTTTTTACTTTCGACTTTATTATTTTCATTTTTGTAAATCATGAAACTGAGATTTCATAAAGAAAAAAAATCAATTCATTTACATTTTAAAAGATATTCTCATTTAATTATCATTTTTTGCATATTATTTAGTGTATATATTATTGGAAATTCTAATTTTAAAAGTAGACTTGAAATAGATAAAAACGAAAGAATTAACGAAATTGATGAAATTGAGATAATCGAGAAAATAGAGAAAACTGCAAAAATCAAACAACAACCAAAGAAATCTGAGAAAAAAGAAATATCATCGGTTTTTAATAAATTATTTTATGATTATGATGATGAACTTTTCATTACTTATCAACCACATGGAGGACTTAATAGTCAACGTATATCTTTATGTAATGCTATCACCATGGCGTATTATTTTAAGAGAACTTTAATCATACCTCCATTAATTTTGGGAAAACCTATTAGATATACAGATTTCAATAAATATTCAAAAATTTTATCAAAATTAAAGCATTCAACAGATTTTCTTCGCTATTGTGATCGAGAAGTAGATGAAAATCGAAATTTATGTATCGAATATCATAATTCATATACACTTTATCAATGGGATGAATTATTTGACTTTAGTTTCATTAAAAAATATGTTAAAGTAGTTCAGTTAGAGAATTTTAGAAAAGAAAATTTATACAAATTATCAAATGTCGAATATTTCGAAGAAATATATTTCTTAAAATCTAATTCTAAATTTTACGATGAAAATATTTTTAATAAAACTTTTTCGAAAGGTTCAAATATTCAATTTCTTTCGGATTTAAAAAATATTTCTCACAGATTATTACATTTCGGAAGTGTTTCAGGATCAGATAGAATTACATTTTCATTACCGGAAAATTTAGAATTTAGTCAACAACTTTATGGATCCTTTTTACCAAATAATCCAATAATTTTAAGTATCGTTGAAAACATAGTTGAATCACTTGGAAATTCATTTAAATTCGTATCGACACATGTTAACTCTAGAAATTTTATGAACAGAGTTAAAAAAAATAAATTAATGGGACTTTTATTTAAAGAAATTGAAGAAGAATTTCAAAATCCAAGTTATATTCATGATCAAACATTTCTAGAATCAAGATGTAAATTAATGTATCCTGATAAACCAGATATAGTTTTATATATTGCCACTGATGTAGAACCGGGAGATAAAATAATTAATGATATACTACAACAATTTCCTTGTACATTTAGACTTTCAAATTTTAGTGACCATTTACAACCAATAGAAACATTGATAAATCCTTTAGATGGATTACTTTTATCTAAATTTCTATTACCACTTATTGATCTTATGGTAGCTGCTCATTCTTCTAAAGTATTTACATTTTCATTTAGTCCATTTGATACTTTTCTTCAAGATTATAATAGATTTTTGGTAGAAAAATCAAAATCTGAAGATGAAGATGAAGTTCATTGGATTCAAAAGCTTTAATTATTTAATATATATTATACTTAATAAAATTAATTTACTATAATGAAATAGAATAATTTTTGTTTTAATGTCTTGAAATTTTTGAAATTTTAGGTTTATTAATGTAATGAAAAATAGAATTATCTTAACTTTTAGGTTCAAGACTGTACATATTTTATACATATTACATCTATAATGCAGAGCAGAACTCTTCTTACTATTATAATAGATATAGAATATATTCTTCTCATTTAATTTTCACGTTTTATAATCAAAAAATTTATTTCTTTTATTTTTAATAGATTTTCAGAAAATAATAAATATTGAGAACTTTTTTTTTTCTTTGCGGAAAACGCTTTTTTTTATTATTATTAAAATCTATTTCTCGGCTGAAAAGTTACCTTTGCATTTCTATTTAATTGAAACCTATTTCTTGCATCCTTTTCTTTATCAAAATATTTTTTCCTTTGTTTAAAAACTTTATACATCCTGCGTAAAGATTCAATCTAATTTTAGATAATCAATATTTTTGTATAACGACGACGCTTATTTACAAAAAGAAAGAAAAATGTCTCTAAAATTTTTTAAAAAGTTATCACAAAATTTTATTGAATTTCTTAATGATAAAGATGATTACGATGTGATATTGAAGTCGAAAAAACTTTTACGGCACATTCCCACGTGCTCAAATTTTTGATGTCATTCTTGATTATTTTATAAATTTATTTACTAATTATTATTTATTTTATTAAGATATATTTACTGTTAATTTAGAAAATATTGAATATAGATTTATTTCTGATTTAATGTTGAGGAATTGATTAACGAATTAGAAATTCTTCTTATTGAAACTAAGGGAAACCAAATTTTTCCTTTATTTATCATTCTATCTTTAGTAATACTAAATTTAAAAAGTTGGAAGAATTTTGTAATGATATTGTTTCAAAATATCCAAACCTTATTTTTGATGCAGATGATTTTGCATCACTTCAAGAATCAGCATTAGTGTCTCTTCTCAAACGAGATGATTTGTAAATGAAAGAAGTTAAAATTTGGGGATTATGTTATCAAGTGGAATTGCTCAGAATCCTACTCTTCCTACTAACCTTGAAGAATGGACCAAGGAAAATTTTCTTATACTAAAAACCACTTTACAATAATGCCTACCATATATTCGTTATTTTTATTTTTCAGGTAAAGAAGTCTTAGATGCAATTAAACTTTATAAAAAAATTTTTGATAAACAACTTTGAATCAACGTTTTTTAGATCCTGATCGACAGTAAGATCAATTATTTTACCTGCAAGAATAACTTTAGTCACAGAATTACCTCTTCGTACAAAAGAACTTTTTTCAACTATCATTTCTGAAGAACATGCATCAGAAATTTCTAGTTGGATTGACCAGAAAACAACTACATACTCTTCAACAAATAAACCTTACGAATTTCAATTAATTTTACAAGGAACTAGATGAAATTATTGGAGGTTATAATCCTTTAATGTGGGATAATACTACTAATGGTATTCATCGGAAAGCAAAAGATGGTTTTATTTTCTCATTAAAAAATGGCAATATTCAAAATTCAATTATTAGCAGAGTAAAAAATTCTTATTATGCAGTTTATAATGTAGGTAAAAATGATCAAAGAAATTATGGTCCATATTTTCATAATTTTTATATGTATAACTCCAAATATAATTTATCTTGTTGTTACCATAATGTTGTTTTAAATTATGAAAAACCTATAAGAACATCGTCAGAATTTTTTTCAATTGTCAATTATGCAGTATTTAAGGTTAAGAAGACTATTTAAAATTTATATTCTTTAGAAAACATAATTTATTTTTAATTTTTATTATTATTATTAAATATGTATTCATATTTTAATGTATTATATTTATTAAATAAACTTTTCTTATATTTATTTTATCCCAATTGAGTATCCAGTTTATAATAATAAATATCTAAAACTTACACATACTTTTAATATTAAGTGCCTACACTTAAATAAGTTATTTATGATTTTTTTTTTGTTTTTAATGCCATGAAAAGGAATAATCAGTTTTGTTTGATTTGTTATATGAAAGTTATTGTATATAAAATTGAATAAATAATGAAAATAACAAAAATTTTATTATTTCATAATAGTTTTTATATTTGCAAATTTAATCATTTTTATAAATAATTTAATAATTTTTTCTTCATCCCAAGGGTGGTAAAAAATATCAATCTAAACATTTAGTTCAATATATCATAATTCTACACCAACTTGCCAAGTATCTGAACAGCTGTTTTTTATCAAATTTTTTAATAAATTTCAAGGGTAGATTGTGACACAACGAATATCAGGTCAAGGGCTATCATATGATATCTTATTTATTAAAATTGGATATCTGCTCATTTTGAAATCTTGTCTTAAATAAAATTTATCAAAAATATTAAATTAAATTATTAATTGTATTCTCTCTTAATTTTGGTAACTATTTACAATAAGAGCTTACTATCTTATAAAAAGTTGTAGTCCTGAATTAAATAAATAACTTTAATTAGTACTATATTTTATATTTCTAGTTAAAATTAGAAATTTCATTCTGTACCCTAATAAATACTAATACTTTGAACTCATATTTATATTATTTTTCTCTGTGTAAACTATATTTAAAACATGTGCTTTTCTATTTGTGACAATTTGTATAACTGATTAACTAATCAATCAATTTGTGTAATAATTAATTTCTTAAAATTTTTTTAGTCAAAATCAAAAATAGCCATATCTAATATTACAAGTTTCTCAATTAATGTTTTTCTTTTAACAATTGAAGAAATAAAAAGATGGGGTATCAAACAACTTAATGAATTTTTGAAAGTGAAGTTAATAAATATTGATAATTACATAAATACCTTAACAACTTAAGAAGTTAATGGTGAATACAGGTCAAAATTCAAATATTAGATATCTATTAGATACCTATTTGCCTCCAATATTTTCAAATATCAAGCAATTATCAGGAAATTATCAGGCATATGAAATATTTTTATATCTGTCAGAAGCCCGATATCTGCATTTTTTTTTAAGGGCCTAATAACATTTTTATAAATTTTATATTGTGCCCAATTATACATGTTCCCAAAATTGATTTTGAATTTTTGAGATATTTTGACTTTTTGAGATTTATGCAGAATTTATTCTATATATGGAAGTAAAAAAAGTATCCAGTTATGTGTATATTCAATCAAAGAATAAATCTGAGTGATCAAAAAATTTTAGATTTTAAGTAAAATAATTTTGTCTTCTATGAAAAACTATTTTGACTTTTTTTCAAAATTACAAATTTGGGATTTCAAAATAATTTTGTGTACAAGTATATACCCAATAGCTACGTGATAAATTTTATTTTAATCTCAAGTACCCAATATTTTACTAATATTGGATACATGATAATAAATAGTAATATCAGAAGTACAATATTCTTTTAAATTCCTTCAGATACCTGATATTATAATAATATTATGAACCCGATATTTTTAAAGTATATATTGCGTAACTAATATTCTTTTTCTTATCAAATATACAAGAAAATTTTTTATCTTAAATTTTATATAATCTATCAGATCCCCAATATTATATTTTAATTAAATTTAATTCATCTTTATATAGTATATACTTAAAATTCAAGTTTTCTACTTGAAGTTATTTTTATTATAATATAAAAAAAAAATAAATTAAATATTAAATCTTCTATTTAATGAAATTATTGATATATAATTATTCTTATTTCTAACCCAATAGTCTATCTTAATGGCTCTACTATATATTTTATGTACTGTAACATCAGGAAATTTTTTCTAGTGAAAACCTTCGAAAGTTAACGTTAACATAAGTATTTCACTATTTTTTAATATGTTATCCTTTGAAGGTCTTTGCTAACCTTTGAAGGTTATCAATTTTGATATTTTCACATGATAAAATTTTGTGAATATTATTATTTTTATAGTAAATTCATATCAATAACCTTTGAAATTTATCGATTTTGATATTTTTATGTGCAAAATTTTACAAATATTATCATTTTTGTAGTAAATTTATATCAATAATCTTCAAAGGTTATCAATTTTGATATCTTTATATACGAAATTTTGCAAATATTATTATTTTCATAATAATTTCATATAAATAACCTTTATTTATGTTAGATATTCATAATATATAATTTCAATGGTCATCACTTGTATTTATATCACTGCGATTTTTAATCAATATTGCACTGTCAACGATATCCTTCAAATTTTATCACAGCAATTTTAATTGACATTGTATTGGTATTGTTAACAATGTCTTTCAAAGTTTATTGTAACAATTTTAATTGACATTACACTGTCAATGATATTCTTCGAAATTTATCGCAACAATTTTAATTGACATTACACTGTCAATGATATCCTTTGAAGTTTATCGCAACAATTTCAATTGACATTGTATTGTTAACAATGTCTTTCGAAATTTAGAACAACAATTTTAATTGACATTGCACTGTTAACAATATTCTTCGAAGTTTATCACAACAATTTTAATTGACATTGCACTGTCAACGATATCTTTCGAATTTTATCACAGCAATTTTAATTGACATTGTATTGTTAACAATGTTTTTCGAAGTTCATTGCAACAATTTTAATCAACATTGCATTGTCAATGATATCCTTCGAAGTTTATTGCAACAATTTTAATTGACATTGCATTGTCAACAATATCCTTCGAAGTTTATTGCAACAATTTTAATTAATATTGTATTGTTAACAATGTTTTTCGAAATTTATTGCAACAATTTTAATTAACATTACACTGTTAACAATATCTTTCGAAGTTTACCACATCAATTTTAATCGACATTGCACTGTCAACAATATCCTTCGAAATTTATCGCAACAATTTTAATCTACATTACACTGTCAACAATATCCTTCAGAAGTTTATCGTAACAATTTTAATCGATTTTACACTGTTAACAATATCCTTCGAAGTTTATCGTAATGAAATTGTATTGTTAACAATATCTTTCAAAATTTATTGTAAAAATTAAGGTTAGTATTTATGTTTACTGAACATAATTTTATTAAAT